TTTAGTTTGACTTATGCCAACCGGATCAGATTTATTTGTCTATACCCGAGAACTTCACTGTTAAGATATCTATGTTTGACTATTAGTATAAACAAAAATTAAGAGTGAAATTACATAAATTCCTAATGGGCTAAAAATTCAATTATTCAATCTTTCGTGAGACATTATAATAAACTGATATAAAAACGGCTAAACACTCAAGTATATTCGTCCTGTGGCGGCACCGACGTGATAAAAGATCACCGATGGGCTCGCAACTAGTCGGTGCCACTGTACGAATATTCGTGTGTGTTTAGTCGCTTTTATATAACTTTGTTATTGCTTAAAAAGAAAGTATTTTTACATTTTTTATAGATAATTTCACAATCTACAATTTTTTGCTTGAGGTATTTTTATGACAAACATACCGTGTCGAAAATCGTAAATCATTTTTTTAACTTCCAATCTTAAATAAAAAAATCCTTATAGGAGAAAGATAGGGAACTTTCAAATATTATTTGTAATTATATTTTGAACGATTTTTAGTTTGTTAGGAATTTATTTAACTTTTAAATATCTAAATCGACAGGAATAATAACTTTTGAGCTTAAAAATTACAATTATTTCTATATTAGTGTAAATAATTTCATGTACAAAGAGTTTTTAGAATGTTTTTTATTTACATCTATATAATTTTTATTATGATAAGGGAACGTACACATACTACGTGACCCGTTTAGCGGAGTCTTTAAAATACTACGGTCAGTCACAGGAGCGGGGGAGGTTGGCTCAGACTTTAGTCACGTAGTCGTTACTTGTTTTTTTTCATTATATATAATTCACTAGTAATTTAAGTATGCATGCAGTCTTATGCTATAAAGAAGAGCGAGCTAAATTATTTCTTTTTCAAATTTTTAGCTGTGAAATTATTAAAAATCATAATTATGAATTACTACGTAAAAACTAAAGGCGGTCTTGGCATATACGAGTGGTCACCGAGGGGAGGGAGGTATCGAAAAAACGAAAAAAATAGGTCACGTAGTATGGATATGTTCCCTAATATTTGAAGTATAAATTCAACTTTGGATTTACATAATTATTATATTAATATAACAAGTACTATATTAATAAGTATATTATTAAAAAAATCTCACTATTTGTTCTCGAATCTTCGAGATTGAATTGTCCACGTTTTTTTTATATAATTTTAGACGAAATGTTTTATTTTTAATTTGAGATGTTTTGATATGTGTAGTAAGGTTTTATGAAAAATTTAATTTGACTAATGTCAATTGAGACGTCAAAAAAATATTTTTTATTATCTGTTGCAATTGAAAAAAGGCGCGAAATATTAAATTTCTTCGACTATTAAGTGTTTTGAATACATTTATGTTGTATTTTAAAATAAGTTTATACTATTTTAGTGTTTTTGATAATTTTTCTACGAAATTACATAAATCATTTGACAGTTTTGTTTTTTTTTTCAGACCAAAAAAATTAAGAATCGTGTGTTTTATTTCCTGGTCCCTTACTATCTTGTTCTATTCAAACATACAAAAGATTAACCAATTGCATTTTATAAAAAAGCAAATATTTTTTATTTAAGCAAATAAAATGTACAAAATAATTAATGGACTGCTTGCTAAATTTACAATTATTTATCGTTTTAACAATTTCTTTCGATAATAACTAGTTTTAGACATTATTAGAATCATTTGGCGCGAATGACGTGCTTTCGTTACAACGTCCAGTGTCAGAATGAATAGTGAGGGGACATAAACGTTGACATTCTAGTAAGGCTAGTGTTGAGTCAATACACTGCCACATTTTCAGATTTTCCTCCTAACACTAGTAATTAAAATTATTTAGGTATTAAAAATATTTCTTTTACCATTTTTAAAACAATTATGAGTTACAAATATTAGGGTTAAGTCATTAGTTCTAGTAATTCAAATAGTATTTTTTACGTATCCATTCTTCCTCTCGATTCAATATTTCCATCCTTGTCAGTGTCAATTTCTCTCATGACAATGTCAGTTTTGACATCATTGTCATCCTGTATATCTTCAACATCGTCCAGACTAGCTTGTCCCACTTTATAATCGATATCACTTCTCGAATGATTCGATTCAGTCACACCTTGTTTGGGACTTTTCATTCTATCTCCATTTTCTTCCATACTTTCATCGATTATTTCTAATCGAGATTTAGAAAAGAATTTATGCAACGATTCGATTTTATCCATCGCTCTATCATTTCTATCAGAGTTTGTATTCAGAGATGTATCTTCCGTCATACAAAAAGAATCGATTCTTCTAGATATTTCAGATATAGATTCAGATATTTCCGTAGTAGATGTTGATTTGTCTAGTCTTAATACTTTAGGCTTGATTATCATACTAGGCGGTAGATCAGGAATATTCCTCAAGTCTATAAGACTGATAGATCTGGTACTTAATTCATATTCTCTACTGTATTCTTCTGTTGATGGACCTGAACTATCATCGTAGTCTTCGAATGGGTAACGTTGTATTTTACGTTCTATTTCACGTACTACTTCTTCTGCTAGTTGCTTTATATGTGTTAGACGATCTTCTTCAGCTATCCTGTCTAATCCTCTAGATGATGGCTCATCTTCTTCTATGATGTCAGAGAGTTCAACGCTGTATGGGAGACATTGTATGTATTGAAGTGTTGGTGGTTTTGTATAAGCGGTGAAATTTTCCAAATCTTCTTGATCACTCATTGTATCATCTTCAAAGATCATTTTTAATTCGCATATTCTTATTATTGCTTCTTCAAATATATTATCTAAATCTTCTTTTATAAAACTCAAATCGATTACAGATTCGGATATTCTACGACTCGATTTCTCTGATCTGAAATCTGTAAGATCGATAACTGTATCTTGGGTTTGCGTTAATGTTGAGTCGGATTTTGTTTTGCTGACGTCACTAAACGTTTCTAACCTACTTATAGTCATATCTGATTTGGATTTTTCTGATAACGATGGTGTAAGGGACATAGATTTATTGGAATCTTTGAATTTCTCTTTACTACCGTAATTCTCCATGTATTTAAGTAACATTTCGACTAAAGTCTCATTGCTATCGTCTACCGGAGTTTCATCAATGAAAGATAGATTTCGTACATTACTATTGGATTCAGATAGGCTTACGCCTTTCCCGTTTATTTCTATTAAAGGTGTTTCCCATTTTCTTTCATCAGGACCAAAGAGAAATTCCATTAATGTTATTTTCTTTTCATCTTTTCCATCGTTTTCATTTTCCATACAGCCAGTTGTAGCCAAAAATTCCATGAGTGTTTCCATTTTTTGTTCCAATTCTGTATTTACCCTTGTTGGGACACATTTCTCCTCTTCATCGGGACTTACTTCAGTTTTAAAGCAACTACCACTACTTCCCTTTCTGCCTTCTCTTTGACTTTTAACTATCGTAAAAAAGAAATCTATTAAATTTGCTATTCTATCTGTCCCTTCTTCCTCATCAGAGGTAGTTAGATCAGATTCTTCTTTAACTAATGGACATCTTTTCGGGGTTTCGTCTAGTTTCTTCGCGAATACTGTCTCCTGAACCACTTGGAGTAAATCCCTGGCCAGTCTAACTGGAGATTTGGAGTCGATTGATTCGTATGTGGTGGAGGGAGCCGAGCGACGTCGGTCTCGGTCTATCCTGATGAAGTCCCAAAGCGAGCCCAGCTCCGAGGAGAGTGAGGCTCGATGGTTCGCCAGGCTGGTGCCGAGACGACGTATTACCTGAGAAAGATATACAAATACAATTTGCAACTTCTTTACCTGATGCTCATTTGTTTTAAGTAAAATTTAAGCTTTTTATGTAAAAAAAAATGTCTTAAAACGTATATTGTTAGTAGGTGGATAAAACAAAAAGTTTTTCCTGAAGATATTTGTCAGTATTTACTTGGATATGACTCCATACTTGTATTTTCTAAAGTAAGCGTGTCATTTTTTCTGAACTATAGTATACCTGCCACACTCAGGACCGCCACGCACGTAGTTTTCGCAAAGAGAGTCTCTTGAAGCGCGCCATTTGCGCCGCCAGCGCCTCCGCACCCAGCGAACCTACGCCCCCCGCGCCCACACCAGACCCCGCCTCGCCTTCAGAGTGAACCTACCGTACAAATATTTATTTGCTAGAAAGCATAATTTGGCAACTCGTATTGATACGAGTATTACGAGTATTCCGAATATAATTTTACGTGTAGATGTAAGGGGCAGCACTGCGCAGTTGAACTAAAACTTACTACTGCAAAAAACACTTTATACGTCAAAATAAAAGCGTCGGTGGCTCAGAGGTTAAATACTTGACTTGTAATCTCCAGATCCTGGGTTCGAATCCCGCTATGTACCAATGTGCTTTTACACATGTACATTTATCCTATGTTCTTATTGTGAAGGAAAACATGGTGATGCTGCACATATCTGTGAAAGTCAAAGATATGTGTGAAGTGACGCACTGGACTAGCATTCACTATGACCTAGTCACATAACTTAGGGTAGGCTTCGAGACCCTCACGTGATGATAACGTCAAAATGGATTAAGACAGTCAAGTAAAAAGTGGTAGAAAGAAAACAACTAACCTCTCTCGATACGGATCTTCGGTGAATGAAGGAACGAATGTCTTTATCGGAGTGACCCTTCGCCCGAGTGATGCCTTTACCCAACGGAGACGACACCCTTCTGGTAATAAAAAAAAGATTACAACAACGTAGAAATCTTCAATATACAGTCATCAATACTACTTTACCACCAATATAAATGCTTAAATTACAAGGCAACGTAAATAGTGGAAACTAATATTGTATGGTTTCTTCGCGAGAATTGCGGTCCGTACACATAACGTCTACTCTAACGGTTATCGGTTCTTCGGGTTATATTCAGCGTGCTAATGTGAGTTCTTGAGTGGAGACCACGGGTCGGCAAACGTAGCGTAGGACGTCCTCAGGCTCGGTGGAGCGATGATCTTCGCAGGGCAGCTGGCAAGAGCTGGATGAGAGTGGCCGAGGATTGTGCTCAGTGGCGTGCCATGGGAGAGGCCTATGTCCAGCAGTGGACTAGTATAGGCTGATCATGATGTTGATGATGACACATAACGTTGAACTGACGCGAATCTATTCGGTTATAGGCATAACGACAAGGCAACTATGTAGCTCCGCCATCTTGAAAATTGCAGTGACCTTGACAAATAGGTTGCGAGCGACTGTCTTTGACGATGACAGGAATCGCGCGCTGTCAAACTTTATGATAGTGTTGCATTGCCCTTAGCGACTAAAATCCTGGTTTTTTCGATTTACGTTGCCTTGTATAAGGGTTTTATGGAACTAGTGTTTAGTTGAAATGTTTAAAATTAAATATAAGTAAGATTCTAATAAACAATTTAATAAAAAATATTTTAACTGACCTACAATGTGTCGGGTCGCTGTACGCAGTGGTGACTGGCGTTTTGCCTTCATTAACTGTGTTATCACTCGAAATGAAGCCCAGAGGAAATGTCGTACCTTAAATATAAGTAGTTATTAGTAAAATAACACTATTTAGCTGGTATTATATTATGTACTATGTTACTTTAGGAAGAAAAACGGACACTGCCGGTGTATCGCAACACTAGCCTTATTAAAATGTCGACGTTTATGTCCCCTCACTAATCATTCTGACACTTGACTTTGTAACGAAAACGCGATATTCGCGACACAAGATTCTAACTAAAAACTATGACTAAATCTATGAGCACCTAAAACATAAAAAGATAAATAAATATAATACATGCTAAATCTATTCTATTTTGTTAAAAACAATCAAAAATTGTCTAAACTGATATATAAACACGGCTAAACACTCACGTATATTCGTCCGGTGGCGGCACCGACTAGTTTCGCTCACTAAGCGACGGGCCGCGTCCGCGAAATAATACCAGTACCACTCACCCTGATGAAGGGCCCCCGATGGGCTCGAAACTAGTCGGTGCCGACACCGGACGAATATACGTGAGTGTTTAGCCGTGTTTATATATCAATTTAGTATAATGCCTCACGAAAGTTTGAATAATTTAAATTTTGTCTGTTCATAACTGTCTAAACTCTGGAACCGTTAGACCGATTTTGACGTGAGTTAGACGGGAAAGTATCTGATACATGAGGACATGTTTTGGGCTACTTATTTATTATTTTGCGCTGACGAACGCGGGCAAAAAACATACAAAAGCTATTCGAGTATAAAGAGAAGTTACATCTAAGAAAGACAATGTGTGAAGGAATGCAACACCATCTCAAAAGCAATACATCTGTGTTTCCTCTGGCACAAAAAAACACCATACCCGTAATAGCTCCCCTTGTGATGCTCAATCCGCGTTGTATCCGCGCTATGGCGGCGCGGTGACGCGGCAACGGCGCGTTACTTCCTTTCTCCTGCAGCACGAACCTGCCCAACGTCTTCCAGCACGCCTGGAGATACAATGAAACAGGAGAAAGGGATCAAGCAAGCGTTTACCCCACTCATCATTAATCTGGAGCATATAATTAAAAATTATTCAGGTTGACAAATAATTTTGAGGATCAGAACATATCCAGTCGCTGCAAAGACCACAATGTTAAGTGTTGCTCGAGCAAGATATTTGAAAAGGCGTTTGTAGTCGAGGAAATTAATCACCTAACCATTTTATTGACATGTCATTTCATGCTTAAATTAATCATAGCAATATACATTCATATAGCTCTTTGTTGACTAAATGGGAATAGAATTTATTTCTTTAACAGTGGTAAATATGAAGGTAGGTCTTTTGAAATTCACCTGAGCGGCGTAGACCACCTCATCATCAGCTAGGGGGCGCTGTTGTGGACCAGCACCAGCTCGACCACCCCATTCTAACTCCTCCACCAGCACGAACCTGGAGGATTAGAAGCAGTGGCTTTATGGTGGATTTGGATTGAACAGTATTTTCTTTCTGTACATTCTCTCTTCATCGATTAAAGGTAGGCAACGCATATGCAATTGCGTATTTCTATGGGCAACGGTCACTTCGTTATTTCAGCGATTTCAGATGACCGCTCGCTCGTGTGCCACCTTATGACATAAGATCCACACCTCGTCTACTCAGCAACACTACGGAGTTCACTTGACATGGCATGTCGCATGGTTGATGGAAAGTAAGCAGCAGACATCGCGAGGTTGGTCGTTGGTACGCGAGGAGTTTCCGAGATTATTATTAAGACATTCTTGTATTTATACCTTTTAGGATCGTCGTGACATCTTGCTTTAGTCAGTGCTTGGTAAACCACGTATGAAGCAGTAGCACTGAGAGGTACCTGGAAATTAAAGAAATAATTGATTTCAGCCAATAACATCTGTGTTAGATATAACCACACTTTTATCTTTATAAATCTCTTTCAAACTGTCCTAGTTTCGGGTAACATCTTACTGTTTTTTCCGCTTTCGTACACGGCTATCTCGTATACTTTGCCTAGACAACTTTGGCACTAATCTTTGTTATACCAGCTGTCACCCGAAACTCCGTCCGCGCGGATTAAAAATAAAATTAGCATTTGTGTTCTAGGCTTTTTACATTTATGCCAAATATCAGTGAGATGCAACCCTTCTTACATCTATCCATAAATTCAAACGTTCGCTTATAATATTAGTAAGAAGTAATATCAGATTGATGGTCCACTTCTTTCGACAATTTGCGGATCCAAAATAATTTCAAATATAACTTTAGTCAGGTAATAATTGTCACCTTAAGTATGGCATACGGTATCTCATGGGAGACGTTGTGCACACAGACAAGGAAGCTGTCAGGGCGACGAGGTTCCTCTTCATGTGCGCTGGACTCCTCGTCTGAAGGCACCGAGCGCTCCTGCGGCCTGTCAGTTGACGCTGATCTACTGGAAAATGGAGTACGAATAGTTGTTATATTGTGATTTTAAAATCTTTTGATTTAGAGCAGAAAGAGATAGAAAAGAGATTTTTTTCGTGGAAAGAGAACTTTTGTTACTGGAGATAGAGCGTCGGTGGCTCAAGGGTTAAGCACTTGACTTGTAATCTGCAGGTCTCGAGTTCGAATCCCTCCATGTACCAATGTGTTTTTCGATTTACATATGTACATTTATCCTATGTTCTTACGGTGAAGGAAAACATCGTGATGCTGCACATATCTACGAAGAAAATTCAAAGATATGTGTGAAGTCATCCCGCACTTGGTCAGTGTGGTTGACTATGGTCTAGTCATGCCTGCCTTAGTGTAGGCTCCGAGCCCTTCAGTACGTACGAAACGTCCCCTATAGTAAGCTGATGATCATGACTTAAAGACTATGCAGCGGTCACAAGTCTCTGTTTTAAACTTACCGTATACTAGTCAGCCATGCTCTACTGCTGGGGTCATCACCTACTCTCTTCAATAACAGCCGAGCTGCTGGCCGCGCTGTGGCTGCTCTCAGCACGCGCTCGTGCGGACCCAGAACACGCTGCGTCGGCGCTCGAGATGCAACTTCTTCGACCAACACATAACTGCCTCTTGCTGATCGGCATACACCGCCTTTTGATAAGCATTGCGCTATTGCCTGCAAAAGCAATTTATAGATGACTAACTTCTTGAATACTTTCTTGGTGCGGCTGTGAATTTGGTATTATAACATTTTATTTTGAAATTTTGCTTACAATTTCTATGGTATAGAAATTGTTTTTGCTTTTCAAATAAAAACTCAGCAACGATTTGTGTTTGCTGACTCCCATGGACGTCTGCAACACCAGAAGAACTGCAGATGCTATGCCGGCTGGAAATACTTGGGGTATTTGATTCCACGCTAAGTATGGAGATGTGTGACATACTAAGAGTGGTACATACTGTGCCGATCCTCCATAGGGATAAGAGCAGGTTGATGATGATGATGATGACGCAAATTCCTGAGTAGAAACTAGTATTTTCAAAGTCTATTGTTGGCATTGTACAGATGTGATTAACATACCTCATTAGCCGTAGTATCCTGTGTCACTTTCAGTATTGAATAAGGCTCATGTCGTGCCACCGCGTACACGACTAGGAAGTGTATCCGTCTACGCTGACGTGGCGAACCAGGCTCGGCGTCTCCCCTCCAGCTCTCGCCCGCAGACTCCTCGCTGCAGCGCGAAAAGATCAGCAGTGACGCCATGTTTAATGGCTGGTTGGTTGGTGAACTGGGAACAAATAAAACTGACATTCGAGAGACATCCATTTCAAATGAAGTTTAGAACGGAAATAATCCAATGAGGTTTTTATTTGAGTCTGGTCACTGCTTTCATCGGGCGTAAGGTGGCAGGGAGTAGAGGGAATTTAGCCTAAACTTAATTAGGATTAACTTAGCTTGAGGATACTCTAAAGATCCTAGGCATGGGCCGTTTACTACATTGTTAACACCGGATTATGAGGCCATCGATTCCTCATCATTACAGATTTAATAATCACAATCAAGAAGATTGTTCCTTATTCGCCTTTATTCAAATTTCTCACTAAGCTACATCAAGACAGTCAACTCACCGTAACCTGACATGTCTGTACCCTGGACGAAGGCAGTGCAGGGGAATGACTCGTTGTGACAACATGTAGTTGGTGTCCGCGTCATAGATTTCAAATCTAACGAATGCCAGCTCTGGAAAGTTTATCTGAAAAAAATTAAGCATTGCACTTTTAACCAAATCAGTGAGAAGTTTAACAGCGGTAGATTCTAGGCAACATATGTTGCACGAATGGGTCAGCTCGGTCACTGCAATTCTGTGATGAAGGTATGTGCCAGAAGGCTAATTTTAGTCTAAGGTCTTCTGCCCTTTTTAGTAGAAGGAATTCAGATGTATGTAATTAGAAATCGCTTTGCTATTTGGGAATGGAGTGAAGATTAAAATGGCGAACAAATCTTGGTGGAAAACCAAATAGAGTGCGATAGGGACGGGGAGATGTTGACTGTAGAATCTTAATTTCCAATCACCTTGAAATTAAACGTCTCATTCCAGACTGGATTAAGAGCGTTTCTTCTCGCCACTTTAGTTCTGATCTTCTTGCAGTCCGCTGGCACACCTAATATTTCGACTTCAACGAACGCGTTGTAGAAAGAATATACATTCTCAGCTACATATTGGCCGGAGATTACCGCTAGAGTGAGATGGGCTGCGTGGATACCGTCGAACTCTTTATCCATCGGATTGAATCTAGAAAGAGATAGAGAAAGTTTGGTAATTCCTTACATAAAGTTTACTGGAAGTAATGGTAAACATCAGGCCGCCTACATATTAGCTGCGAAGAAATGCACTGGACTGACTTAGAGTTGAAGTCGCGGGTTGATTGTAGCCAGCAGGCCAGAACGGTGACTCCACTGACTTAATGGTGTGAGGGCGTGTTTTATTTAGTCTTCCTATCTGACTTAAGGTAGTTGACAATCAGCAGTAGGAAGGACAATTGTATCGCAGTAGAAATGCCACTCTACCTCCTATACGCGATGTGTCCAGGGTCCCACATAACGTGAGGCTTGCGTACATATCCCGCGCAGCCGTGTCCTTCGAACATGGCCGCGTTGACAGCCATTGCCGCATCCTCGGTCTGATAGTTGAGTGCCACTAGCTGCACGCCACACGACCAGAATGTCACCGGGTCGAAGTTCGATGAGTCTATTCTTAGGCTGGAAGCGAAATTGCCTAAATCATTTCATATTATAAAATGTCCGTAAAATTAGACCTTATTCAGTTTATAACCTTTAGCGACTGGTCCTCGAAAGAAGACTTGGTTACAAATGGATTTATCGGTCTTTATTTTAAATGTAACGCTTATCAAATATCAATTTTAGTTTAATTTAAAAGGTGATTATCAAGTTTAGATCTCACTGTCCTTGTCCCAGTTACGTAGGTGTCGGACCAGGTTACTTAATCCTTAAAATCAATCTATCTATTAACTTAAAAATCTCTTACCCGGCGGGATAAGTCCTGACGAGCTGCGTCTCAGTATGTGCTATCAATGCCAACGGATGTTTTCTACAGATCTTCCTGCCCATAGCCTCGTTGATGGATGAACAACGGTAGCAAGGATGGTGCACCGCAGGAGCGTTGAGACAACGAGCGCGCGGTGTCGCTGATTGGGACTGAGCTACTTGCTACAGGAAATTGAAGAGACAATGAATTAGATTGTAGCCGTCTACTAAATATAGATTTATTACAGTATATGAAGGTTTTATTCGTTAAATATCAGGTCATACAACTCCGAGGGCTCAAGCCAGCTCAAGTAAGTTACCAGGCTTTATACGCCCCAATACCGCATAAATTTCTGATCAGATTTATGTTAGTTGGAAAAACAAGTGTGACGTGAGAGCTTTCAAGAGTAAAGTGAATAGGCATCTATTAAGCTAGGATACCATCTTTCCACCATATCATTACTTAACATCAAGTGAAGTCGAGGTCAAGTGCTAGCTTATCTATACTAATATTATAAAGCGGAAGAATTTGTTTGTTCGTTTGTTTAAACGCACTAATATCAGGAATTGCTGGTCCGATTTGTTGGATAGTCCATTTATAGAGGAAGGCTTTACGCTGCAACCAATAGGAGCGAAGCGTCAGTGAGTACTAATTATGTTTTTTTTTAATACTGTGCAGACGAAGTCGCGGCGACAGCTAGTTGAATATAAAACAAACACAGGCTGTAACAAACAATTGAAGAGGAGCTTAGCACATACGGGTATTAATACCCCTCACGTAGTTATTATACTGACCGTAGCAGTACTGTCGCTGCTCTCCGAAGACTCAAAGCTGCTGGCAGGGGCGCTGGTATCGGTTACGTGCCGGCCCGCGCTCCCCGCACCTCCCGCGTGCTTCACTGAACTACGCGGCGACAACGGGTTTAGACCGCGGAACTTTATCGCCTGGAAAGGAACAAAATCGAAAGTGTTTTTAAAGAAAGCCAGTACTATAGAAATGTTTATTTATTAGATTTGTTTGTTTGTTAGCATGGAACTCCAGAATGGCTGAACGAATTTACATCAAATTTGGAGCAGAGATAAAGTCTGTAATAGGGCAAAGAGTACTCAGTGTTTTTATAAGATAAAGGGGCAAACGAACTGCGAGAACCGAGGTGTTCTTCGGCGCCCATGGACATCTGCTATACCAGAGGAACCGCAGATGCGTTAGCCTTTGAGATGATAAGCTTGCTTCTTGAAGGACCCTAAGTCGGTTTGGAATTACCGCCGAGGACAGACCATTTCGTTTTAGTTTTTATTAAATAAACGCGGACGAAGGCTTAGGCACCTAGTAAAGATATATTACCTGTACATAAGTGACCATGTCACTCAGTTCTCTTGCAATTTGATTACTTCTCTTTCTATTGGCATGCTTGATGCTGCCCCCAGCATCACCGTCTCCGTCACTCCTACGCAAGCTCTGGTAGAAAGAGAGAGAAGTCCGACCAACTTTCTCTTCCATTGAATTAAGAATTTTGTGGAGTTCCTTTTCTAGAAGATACAATTTTATTTAATCAGATTACTTACTAAAGCGAATATTTGGATGGATGGATGTTTAAAGGTATCTCCAGAACGGATGCATGGATCTCGCTGAAATTTGTTATAGATATAAAACATAATCTGGAAGAACGCATAGGCTACTTATTAAGTTTTAGATAGCAAGGATTTTTTTTTAATTTGACGCGGACGGATTCGCAGGCGTCAGTTAGTAACATTAAAATTCGAAAGTTTAGATGGATGGATGTTTGAAGGTCTGGAAGAACACATAGTTTACATGTTAAGTATTTTTTATTTCCTTGCGGAGGAATTCGTTGGCAAAAGCTAGTATTTAAATATGAATATGGAAGGTACATCTTTATGTGTAAAAGGAAATTGGAAGAGGTTAAATTTTTTGCATATTAAAAAGATATAAGACTGTGGTACTATAATATGTCTCTGTGTATGAGGAAGTATCACTCACCATCTATATCCTCGTCATCTTCATCATAATCTTCATCAGAGAAGTACTCAGTGAGGGAACTGCCAGCTGATTGGTTGGACATTATGGAACTTGTTCGGTTGCTCTGCTCCGGGAGGGAGGCGCTAGTGTGTCGCATACCGTTAGACCTGAGAAAGATGGAATAATAACCATATTATGAAAAAAGGTAGCAAATAGGCAAGCGAGGTCTGAAGAATTCGCTAAATTAGCGATATAATTGTCTAAAGAACATCTAACTAACATTAAAAATGCGAAAGTTAAGATGGATGGGTGTTTGTTTGTAGGTATCTTCAGAACATCTGCATCAATATCGCTGAAATTTGTCATAGATGTAGAACATAGCCTGAGAGAACATATAGGCTACTAATTCATCATCATCAGCTCATTATACGTCCCCACTGAACAAATTGGAGCCTACCTTAAGTTGACTATCACTAGGCTACTAATTAAGTTTATTTTATTTCCGCACGTAAAGAATCGCGGGCGACAGCTAGTCTGTTATAAAGATGCTTAACTTTAACGGAAAGAAGAGAGAATGCACAGAAAAGGGATATTACATTAGAAAAGAAACAGAAGGGGAAGAGAACTATTTTTGTTATATGACACACAGAGTAAGAGACAGGGCGGATATAGTTGTAAGTCCTTTTTAAGTGCTTCTATTGCACCATTCGATCCTACAAAATACTATAGACAGACCTGAAAGCCGTGGCTAAAACACCTCCATATCCTTGCGCGGAACTGGCGCCTGTCAGCCCGATTGTAGGACTGGATTCTACTGGTAGAAGCTTCTTGTTCTTTATCAGCACCTGAAGATACAACACATGAATCTGGATTTGTTTAGTTCGTAACAATGATTGTTTACTGAATTCCACAATTGTTTCCGCAAACCACCAATAGATGGCGCTGCTCGTAAATTAAAACGCGCTAGAGAGATGTTATTGCATAATTACTTACCTGATTTTTTTGTAGTAGTATTTGGCCTGTCAAAGTGTTGAATAAAGTGATTTGTGCAAGTGTGACCGTGTTCGTGAATACTTAAATAGTTTTATGTACAGGATTCTTCATACGCATAACCTCTTGCAAATAAAACATACTTTCCAGTCTTCTACTTTTGAAGACATCGGTTTAAAGATCTTTTTTTACTCATAAAAAACACAAAGTTTCGCTTACAATGAGTATAAATGTAAAATATAACATAAGGGCTTGCGGGCTAATATAGTAACCATATATAAAATTAATATAAATCAAAAACAGACCTTCGTACAACTATAAGAAGAAGAAGACACAGTGCATAAATTCATCTATACTAACGATCTTTCTTAGTGACGATTTAATGTAATTAATGCAGTGCAGTTTTGTTTATAAGAAAAGGGGGCAAGTTAGGAGCAAGAAAGCAATCCTAGTTGAGCATTTACAGACGACCGTCAGAAACTGCAGATGCGTTGAAGGCCTTTGAGAAAAAACGTTTAAATCTTGAAAGAATCGAAGAATCCAGACAAAGTGCACAACGCAATTGTGTGTGGCATGCAATCTCTTGATAACTTCATCATCGAAAACCTTACCTTGTATTTGAGTTGTTCTGGACTAGGTAACCTTGGTTCGTCTGTGTAGTCGACTTCAAATAGGAATGACGTCACCAGTTTATCTCCGAACACTGCCTGGAAAACAGAGCTAGTGTAAAAAGCATCAACATGTTACGATTTCCATAAAAATATGTACAAAAACTTGTGATTCTTATAATTTGGGGAGAGGATTTTTGGCAAGTGTATATGGTCTTAATAATTACACGGATTTCGTCACGTGAGGTGATGTTTGATTTGTGTTGTTTTCCTGAATATCATAAGGGTGTGGTAGAGCGTCGGTGGCTCAGTGGTCAAGCACTTGACTTGCAATCTGCAGGTCCTGGGTTCGAATCCCGCCATGTACCAATGTATTATTCGATTTTCGATTTACATATGTACATTTATCCTATGTATGATGCAACATCTGATAAGGAAATCGATGATATGTGTGAAGTCAACCCGCACTTGGCCAGCGTAGTTGACTATGACCTAGTCACCTATGAGCCCCTCGGTGATGATGGTACATGTACACACTGACCTCGAATGTGCTGGCCATGACTTGCTGCTGTGGTAAACTGCAATGGTTCTCGATACTCAAAATCAAAGGGTACGGAGATGTTACAAACGCGCTTCTGTTGAAAGAATATGCCAATATTATGGCAATTAATCTTACTAATATTATAAATGCGAATGTCTAGATGGATGTTTGTTTGAAGGTATCACCAGAACGGCTATATGGACCTTGCGGAAATTTGTAATAGATGTAGAACATAGTCTGGAAGAACACATAGACTACTTATTACTAATTTAATTCAGCACCAACGGAGTTGCGGTTAAAAGTTAGTGTTACATATATTAAAACTGCACATATCTGATAAGAAAATCAAAAATGTCTATTTAACAGTGGTAGAGCCCGCTTTAACATCTTCGCACGAATTGTCCCGGCTCGCCCGGTGAAATACCACGACCACAAAGAAGACAGGCGTCAAGTGGAAGCTATTCCGCGTTTCGTCTGATGAGTGTGCGTCCTGGAGGCCTAATTTAGTCCTCTTTCCCTATCCACCCTTTTTCTTATAAGGAATGGATGGGAAGTGGAAGTGGACTTTCCGGATGAGAGGATGCATGGAAAGGGAAGATATTGTCTTTCTGTTCCTCCTCTCCGCCGTCGATTAAAGGTAGGCAACGCATATGCAATTGCGTATGTCTATGGGCAACGGTCATTTCGCTATTTCAGCGATTTCAGGTGGCTGCTCGCTCGTTTGCCACCTTATGATATAAAAAAAAAATAAGGCCTCAGGCAAATCGGTTTGTACTTTGGATTAGTTCGCACTTGAAGCATGTCTTGTGTGTGGTAGTGTTCGGATGTTTCTGGTGTCCGCCATCGTTAAAATATCATTATTAACCTGGCAATAGTTTCCACGACTCTTCTGAAAGGTATTTTTGTGGTGAACGTATGCCCGTGGTAGATGACAGGACTGCCATCGTCTCCATCCCAGCAGTCCAGTTCTACACATCTGCAGCCTGTTAGCAACACCTGAAAGTAATTATATTCAAAGGTTTTATAAGTATCACTACCAAGTATTCGATCCTTATTTAGTTCCAAATCTTAAAAAGTTCTAACTGCCGTATATATAGTAGTTAAACAGTTAAGATGTCAACATTTTTGTACGTTTATATATGTGTTTGTGTGTATGCGTCCAGTACTACTAAGCAGTCACTGGAGGAACCATACGGGGTTTTTTCAGCCTTTCTCAACGTCCCAAATGTCTTTATACTACGTTCTTTCAATTAGGCTTCATCACTTAACGCGCCGACGTACCTTTGAATCTTTGTTTTATATTTTGTACCTATCATCTTTTTAATTGTAAGGATTCATCTAACAGAACTACCTTTTAGTCTACGCTTCATTAATCAAGTAAATTATGATCTTCTTTAGCGTAAATAAAAGGACGGTTTTTGACGAGTGAAGTATCATTCGATTCGTCTTCTCCTTAGTGTCATGGAGACAGTAAGGGTTTTGTTTTTAATTAAGTTATAAGATGTATTCATTTATTTATCATATTCTTAACATAGTACATTTCATATATAAAATAAAAAAATAAACAAAACATATTATATTAAAAATAGAACACCAACGGCTGCGGGTCCCATCAAACAAAACAGAGGTCCGTGCTGCAGACAGGAACCTTCTCACGATGCGTGCGGTCTCTAGGATAACCGCCTTTTGTATCGGGTCCTGTTTAGCGAGAGCTTCTTCAGATGTTGGTCGAAACTCTTCGCTATCAGTCCATTCACCGGTATGACTATCGGAATAATGGTAGTCGATTTCATACGATTCGATAAGTAATATTATTAAGTCTGTATATTTCTTACTTGGCTGTATAACTCAACAGAAGACTCTCCTTTAAGTTGATGACCAGTTAGATAAGTGTTATGACTGCTTGCTATGTAATATCGACTCAAAGGTCCTTCCATTTGTCTTGATATGGTTCTACTCTTCTCTTCTTCTTCTTGAGCTGGTTTCCTATAAGGATTATTTAAAATGTACATAAAAATTTTAACGCCAAAGTCGCTAATAGCAGATCCTATAACAATAATATTTGTTGGCTGACGACTGGTGAAATACCACGACCATAGAAGATAGGATTAAAAGTGGAAGCAATTCCGCGTTTCTAGATATTACGTTCCTGGAGCCTAATTTAGCCTCTTCCTTATAATTCTTTCCTGATAACTAAAGGCGGAATGTGGGGGAAGTCGATTTGGCGGAAGAAGGGCGTCCCGGAGGCCTCATTTAGTCCTCTTTCCCTTCCCATCCTTTTCTTTATAAGGAAAGGATGGGAAGTGGAAGTGGACTTTCCGGATGAGAGGATGCATGGAAAGAGAAGATGTTTTCTTTCTGTGCATCCTCTCCTCCGACGATTAAAGGTAGGCAACGCATATGTAATTGCGTATGTCTATGGGCAACGGTCACTTCGCTATTTCAGCGATTTCAGGTGGCCGCTCGCTCGTTTGCCACCTTATGATATATAAAAAAAGAAGGGACGCATAAGAAGGGAAAATATCTTCTATCTGTGTGTCTCCATCTACCTTGATTAAAGGTAGGAAACGCATCTGCAATGATAAACAAATGGGCATTTGCTTTTTTAGCGAATTCAGGTGGCGACTTACTCATATGCCATTTTATTATAAAAAATCACACTCCATGTGACGCGTACTAGATGCACGTTCTCCTGATTGATCTTTCATACATCAAATCTAAATTATGGTCACCTTTCACGTAATTTCTAAAATCTTCATCAGACCAGATAAAGTTTTGTTATACTAAATTCGTACCCAAAATAGCTGTTGACTTGCTGCCTTCTCTGTTCAGGAACGAATGCGTAGTTATCTTTGTCAGTCAGAAATCGGACGAAACCTTCGAATGATAGACAGTTTTCCGCTCTTAATGATGGGTCTGGTTCATGTCTCTGAAAGATTATTTATACCATTAGTTTTTCCTACCAAGAATGTCGTGGGTGCCTTCAGGAATAGGGTGAAAACTTTAAGCTGCATACTACTTAAGAACGCAGTTTGAAAAGTCGATAACTCGGTCGTTATATAACCGTATAGCAGGTGTCCTGTTGGGATTCTACTGGTGAGTAATACAACTGCGCCCTAATAGTGGTCTAGCGTTATTTTATTCAATACTAGCTGTCGCCTGCGACTCCGTCCGCGTGGATATATAAAAAACTTAATTAATGTAGCCCACTCATCCATCACATTTACCAAACATTCGCATTTATAATATTATTGAGTTAAATTCAACACAGTTCTTCAAGGCATAAATTCGAAAAAAATGAATAAATAGTATCCTATGTCCGTCTCCTGGCTCTAAGCTACCTCCTCACCAATTTTCAGTTATATCGGTAAAGCCGTTCTTGAGTTATAAATAGTGTAACTAACACCACTTTCTTTTATTTTATTCAATATATTTTCACCGGTGACTCTGTCCGCGTGGAATTAAAAATTTAATAGTATTGTGTTCTTCTAGGCTATGTTCTGGAGATACCCTGTTACAAACACCCATCCATCTAAACATTTGCATTTATAATATTAGTAAGATATACATACGTGTATAATATCTTTCAGTTGCTGTTCATTCTTCGGTTCGTTTTGTCTTGTCTCGCAGAACTTGCCTAGCGTTGGCAGAGAGAGGACGCGTCCGCTCATGTCCGGACATGCTCCTGTAATTATCATCATCAGCTCACTATAGCACCACTGAGGGTCTCGGAGCCCAACCTAAGTTCACTAGGTCATAGTGAATGCTGGTCCAGTGGGTCACTTCACACATTTTGACATTCACAGATATGTGCAGCATCACCATGTTTTCCTTCACACTAACAACATAGGATAAATAAACATATGTATAGTAAAACACATTGGTATATGGCTGACCAGGTACCCGGGACCTGTAGATTGCAAGTCAAGTACTTAACCCCTGAGCCAACGACGCTTTGTTTTCGTATCACTGACGCTATGTTTTTGATTATTATTAACGTGTTAAATTTAAAATGTTAGTTAAATCCGAAACGAGTATTGATTTTGGCATTTTTTCTGGTACTTGCCTGGTAACGCTGCAGCTGCTAGTAGATCAAAGTCTTTCTTCCTGTTGGCTTTATCGCTTGGAGGATCCAGGTCCAAAGATCCATTCCTCGTTAATAGACCTGAAAAGATATTTACAGACTCGTGGTGATGGTGATATTCCTTAGGATTAATTACAAAAATTTAGTTCGTATTTTTTTTATAGAAACAACACCTAAAATCTCTCTACGATCGCTCCGTCTCTGTTTTTTTCTTTACTTTACTCATCATCATTTTCAGGTCAACAAGCAACAGTGGAAACAGTGGACAGGTTACTTAGTTAGGGAGAATTTAACTCCAGACTTTCCTTTATTTGCTAAACACTAAAAAGTAGGCGTAGGCTTAATATCTAAGCATGGGTTTACCTGTTCTGAAAGCAGTCTTGTTGCGGAACAGCTCTGGTGAGCTCCGACTCTTCTCAGCGCCCAGCAGTGGGCAACGAGGTCTTGGGACTGCTAACTGTTCGAACACGTCTCGTAATTCTGACCGCATTACTAAACTGAAATAAACCGAAATGTGTCAAATTATAGTAACTGCAATGCCTTTAAGTGGTCAATGGGTCCCTTAGTGTAGATATAATATGAGAAATCTATACTGAAGTTGTGCTAAGTAACCATTAAACGTATACCAATAGATAACGACTGCTACTTTGCTATTGCAATCTTTAGATCGTTTTAAATTGAATCAAAATGTTTCTAAAAACCACGGCGGTGGTAACAGTGGTAGAGCCCGCTTTAACATCTTCGCACGAATTGTCCCGGCTCGACCGGTGAAATACCACGACCATACAGAAGACGCGCGTCAAGTGGAAGCTATTCCAACTACAGTCTAATGAGTGTGCGTCCCGGAGGCCTAATTTAGTCCTCTTTCCCTTCCCACCCTTTTTCTCATAAGGAAAGGATGGGAATTGAAAGTGGACTTCCCCGATGAGAGGATGCATAGAAGGGAAAAATATTTTCTTTCTGTGCATCCTCTCCGCCGTCGATTAAAGGTAGGCAACGCATATGCAATTGCGTATGTCTATGGGCAACGGTCACTTCGCTATTTCAGCGATTTCAGGTGGCCGCTCGCTCGTTTGCCACCTTATGATATAAAACAAAAACGGATGAGAAATAAAGGTATCACTTGGAATAATATTACTATAGTTAGCTAATGTTCAACTCACCTGAAACTTCTAAATAGTGCGACGAAATCAATAAAGTCTAATTGTGTATCGTAATTAACTGAGCCAGTCCGTAAATTTTTCAGATGCTCCCAGAATCTCTCACTAGTATCCAGTCTTCGTAGACTGCAAGAAAATAAAGATTAAAACGTATAAGATTGTAATTCCCAATGTAGTCCAGACCCCTTGAGTCCTGGGGTAGGTTGAAGGAAGGCAATAAAGTTGACAGTTCACAAATTGAAGAACATAGCATTAATTGAATGAAACTAATAACATTTCGAGAGTGGTGTAAAAAAAACGGGAATCCGCTTTAGAAGCAGGGTCGTCTAGTCCAAAGATGCAATGGATAGAGGGCACCAGTGCGCCAAGTTTTCTGGGCACCAGACTATATTACTTTTTAGGGTCGCCAGATTGATTTTAGTACTCTGGCGTGAAGATGGCTATGTTTAGAAGGTTACTAAAATAAAAATGAATAGGACAGTAGAATGATGTGATTACCTGCTCCTATTGGGTGAGCCTGACATGATGGTGGTAGCTGCAGTAGTAAGACTGCTGTGCCGTGGTGGACAATGCTGATGATGACCAGCTGCTGCTGAGTAAGAACTATAAAAAAAGAAAGTCAAACATTAAAAGACCAGTAGAGTGAAAGATTTATAAAATGCTAACTGAACTTGAGTTTTGAGTTAAATGTTTTAAAGAAAGAAAATCTAAAAGACCTAATATTAGTCGTCTTCCCCTTGCCACCCTTATCTTATTAAAGATGCGATGGGAAGAGGAAGATAAATTTGACATAGGAAGGCACGTAAAAAGGGAAATATCCACGATGCATCGTCTACTCTATGGATTAAATGTAGTCAACGCATAAACAAATACTGATGTTTATGTAAGATAGCTTCGCTGTTTAGGAACGAATGAATGCTTTGCTACTTTAACAAAACCTGGTACATCTCAGAGTGGGTTAAGGTTAGGAAAATCTTGATCAAAGGACAGTATTCAAGAGTCTTTTGTTTCATTTATTTGTGTATTCGAAAGGTTTTAGTCTTAGAATTACTAGTGGTAGAACCCGCTATAATATCTTCGCAGTTATTGTCCCGGCTCGCCCGGTGATATACCACGACCACACAGAAGACAAGCCTCAAGTGGAAGCAATTCCGCGTTTCTTCATATAAGTGTGTTTTTCGGATGCTTAATTTAGTCCTCTTTCTCTTCCCAACCTTTAATTCTAAGGAAAGGATAGGAAGTGGAAGTGAAGTTTCTGGATAAGGGGATGCATGGAAAGGGAAAATATTATCTTTCTGTGCATCCTCTCCTCTATTGATTAAAGGTAGGCAATGCATATGCAAATTCGTATGTCTATGGGTAACGGTAAATTCGCTATTTCAGTGATTTCAGGTGGCAGCTCGCTCGTTTGCCACCTTATGATATAAAAATATATGTGTATACCTGTGTCTAGGTGATCCCTGAGGAACATCGTCTTCTCGAAGACCGGAAAACGTCGCGCCGTAATTCTTTGGTGAACTCTTCAATTCCGATGTTGATTTGTTTTTCTGTAAATTAAATTAATGTTAATAAATCGAACTACGTCAATAATCTACGTGTAAGTGACGTCAGCTTGATGAAATATCCATATGACCATTTAACATTAGATACGATCAAGCCTTGATTTATCTATACTTATAAATAAAATTGCAGTGTTTGTTTGTAATATTGAAACAATACACTGTTAGTATTAAGTGAATGTTACCTTGAATTTGATCCCAGAAGTTCTTAGCGAGTCGGAATGTGAGTCAGTGTATGCTCCCCGAACTGGTGTAGAGTGGGATGATACAGCGCAAGCTGATTCTCTACCACCAAATACCTGGAATGCAATGCAGATACTATAAACTTACTGATATTATAAATGCGAATGTTTAGATGTATGTTTGGTAGAAGTTAGCTGTAAAACAGCTGCATTGATCTTAATGAAATTTGGCATAGATGTAGAGCATAGTCTGGAAGAAAACATAGGCTACTAAGTTTCTTTTTATTCCCGGAAGACGGTGGTTCTACGTGACCTATTTTTTTAGGTTTTTTCGACCCCTCGGTGACCACTCGTAGTATATGCCAAAAGCCTCCTCTCCCCCTTTAGTTATTACGTAGTAATTAATAATTATGATTTAAAATTATTACGGCGCTCGCTCGGCATATGTGCGTCAGTACCAACTGTGCCAACCAACCAGTTCTAATATAGGTCGAAAATATATGAGTTTTCTGTCAGTAAAATTGACTACGTGACAAAAACCTAGCCACCCCGACCATGTGACTTACCGTAGTATTTTAAAGACTCCACTCAACCCCCTCTAAACGGGTCACATAGTATGGGTACGTTCCCTAATGAGATTAAATCTTGGTTACAAAAGTAGCGGTAGGCCTAAGAAAATGTTGCGAAGAAGGAGATGCTAGAGAGAAGAGTGAACTTTATGATACCTGATAGAGATATATGTAGAGTAAAAACTAACCCTAATAGCGTCAGAGACGACAGGTTCACAGCAGCAATTGTCCTCATAATATAAAGCGGTGTACTTGTTCTTTAGCCAAGCGAGACTCCGATCTGCAAGCTTAGTCTGAGTCATCAGCGCTCTGATCACAGCGTGGAGACCCACAGCCCATACCCTGGATAAAATAAATTGACAATAATTTACACCCCACTCAAGTGAGCTTCGGTAGCTCAGGTATTTAAGCACTTGATTTATAATCTCCAGGTCCTGGGTTCGTATCCTGCCATGTACTAATCTGTTTATCGATTTACATATGTACATTTATCTAACGTTCTTATGGCAAAGGAAAACATCACGCAACCTGCACATATCTGAGAAGAAATTCAAAGATATGTGTGAACCTGACTATGGCCTAGTCACCGCTAACTTAGGGTAAGCTCCGAGCCTACCTGAGAGGTAAGGGTAGGTAGATGAAACTTAAATAAAACATTTTTAAATATACACTTACCTGTAGGAATAATTTGGTAGTAAAAAATGTACAATTCTGTTATCACTTAATGTTCTTCCGTACACTAAAGTAATTATCTTTGGACTTCCACAATCATCCAAGCCGTGTCTCTTTCCGCAGGAGATCAAATCAGCGACATCTCGCGGTTCTAATAGTTTCCCGCCCAAACGCATGTCTTTGACACACTGCAGGTCTATGAAACTGTAAATTATGTTTAGTTTCACTAGATGGCAGCACAGTCTATAGTCAAACTATCTGGAGAGAGAGGCGCTACTATAGTGTGTCTATTTAAGATAAATTAGTTTGACAATTCACTAGAAATGGGTTAAGTAAAATCGATTAAGAATTTTTCAGATTTTCGATGGTTGTTCTCATAGAACTTGCAATCGAAAATTTCGTGATTATTGTTTTTGAATTACAATATAAATAAAATTGTTTCTTTCTATTCCTACTTTATCCTTCATAACTACATAAAGAAATAAGACCACAGATTGCGGTGTTGAGGAACAAAAAAGATTTTTTTTTAAATTGTGCGATACATAGCCAAATAATTGTAATTAATTCAAAAACTAATAAAATACCTTAATTACAGTATCCATTTGTTCGATTAATTTTATTACAAGATCAATTCTCGATAGTTCACAGTTATTCGTTGTGCGTGAAAGTTTGACACTTTTTTCTTTTTTTTTCCTAGGGAGTAGGAGGAGTGCTTAATGCATACTCCGCGCCCCGGGGGGGACGCGGTAGTTATATGGGATTCTCCTCCATAGCGGAGGCATACCCACTAAACCTCTCTGTTCCTCCAACGCATCGGGACGGGACCACGGGCACGCTTTCGCTCTCGTCCACGGCCCAGCTTATAAAATACCTAACTATAGTAGCCCGTCGCCCACTTCGACACTATGACAACCGTCCATTAAGTACAACATAAATCCTCATACAGAATTAATTCGATAATAGGCATCAGTTATCAAACTAATCTATCTTAAACAGACACAATATAGTATTATATTATACAGGTGTTAGAACACTGTAAACTTAACATATACAAGTTTAAAAACTCACCCCTCATCCCCTACAATTCCCGCTTCGTTCTCATGAGCTAGATGCGCTGTGTATTTAATAGGTATAACTTCTTCAGGATTATATGAGAGATTAATTTCTGGTTGCTGTACGTTCTCTGATGGGGTTTCACCTGCAAACATATTGTTAAACCGCATTCCAGACAAATAATGGTAAATTTCTTACTATAACTATTTTTGTTAAAGAAGTGTTGATTTACGAATGAAAAATCTTGCTAATATGTGAATGTTTGAACGCACTAGCTGTCACCCGAGACTCCGTCCGCGTGGATATATAAAAAAACGTAATTAGTGTAGCTTATGTGTTCTTTCACGCTATATTCTATACGTATGCCAAATTTAATCGAGATCCGTTCAACCGTTCTAGAGATATCTTCAAACACCAATCCATCCACATCACATCCATATAAACATTCGCATTTATAATATTAGTAAGTTAAATAAAAAGCAGCTCTTCAAGGCATAAATTCGAAAAATAAATAGTATCCTATGTCCGTCTCCTTGCTCTAAGCTACCTCCTCAACAATTTTCAGGCATATCGGTAAAGCCGTTCTTGAGTTATAAATAGTGTAACTAACACCACTTTCTTTTATATATAGTTAAACTTGATTAGTAGTTCATATATTCTTCCAGACTATGCTCTACATCTAAGTCAAATTTCAGCGAGATATATACACCCGTTCTGGAGATACCTTCAAACACACATCCATCCATCCAGTCGAACATTCGAATTTATAATATTAGTAAGATGTACCTCCAGAACGGTTGCATGGATATCCATGAAATCTGGCATAAATGTAGAACATAATCTGAAAGAACATATAGTCTACAAATTAAGTTTTTTTTTAATTCCTCGCGGACTGAGTCTCGGGCGAGCTAACTAATTAGGCTTACTTGTTCTGGCCTTAGCCTTATCTTGGCTTAAAACAAAAGAGAATCCTAGTAAATTATCATCACTAACCATGTTGTGACTGTGGTCTATGAGCTGTTCTACACCATGTTAATAAGGCGCAAGCTCGTTCTAATCTGAGATGTGCGAATGTCCCGTTCCATTCCGCCTCGCCAACCACACAGGCGGTGCCGTGATGCATTATCTGTATTACAAAAACGTTAAAAGCCTTCGCCATCAGCTGGACAAAAGCCTATCTCAAAGCCTTCGATAGTATGATTAATATACTATACAAATGGATAGTTTGATTAAGAAAGGATATTCTAGAAGACGCTATAAAAGGCTTTCCACTTTTCTCCTCAACCGAAAATCCTAGACTTACACAAAGCAGGCCTCAGTCAAACATATTGGCCTCTCCAAAGCTTGACTCTACATATTTTAATTTCTTTGCACTGTTAAGAACATTACCTGCAGAACATGTCTATCCATCCTTTCTCCGTTCTGAGGCGCGAGGGGAAACATGGTGACTCCGTGGTCGTGAGGCAGCGGCTGCACTGGGCAGTATCCTCCACCTTCCAGTTCGTATAATGCCTCGTTTTCAAACTCGCCTCCGCTGGTCTTCTGTGAGGGCGCGAAGACTGGCTCCTCGCATATGTTGATTGCTGTTCTGAAGGTAGACGATGTTTAACTTGGATTAAAGTAAAGGATTTAACATTGGTAGAGTCTGCAATAGAAACATGAATCTCTCTTCCCTTTCCATGCATGCTCTCACCCGGAAAGTCCACTTCCACTTGCCATCCATTGCTTATAAGAAAAAGTGTGGAAAGGGAAAGAGGACAAAATTAGGCCTCCGGGACGCATGCACTTCTTCTGTGTGGTCGTGGTATTTCACTGGGCGAGCCGGGACAATTCGTGCGAAGATGTTAAAGCGGGCTCTTCCACTGTTAGCGATAATGGTAGACAATCACCCGAACATTTTATTAATATCAGTTGGCTACTACCTCGTTTATATATTTTTGATCATACACCTTAAGTAATCCCCGAAGACTGGCTGCGTGGTCCTGGAGAGAGCGTATCTATGTTGGTGTATACTCGAGATGTGGTCCATGACAGCCTGCGTGCGGTAGACTTTCTCCAAGTTGACCAGACCTTCGGGACCGACGCGTTTCCAACCAGGTTCCTGTTCACCTTCCTCGTCGAAAGATGCTATGTACTAAGTAGAAACACAGTTAAACTTAAATTGGGAGAAGTAAGTATAGGTATCTTATATATATATAAATTAATTGCTGTTCGTTAGTCTCGTTAAAACTAGAAAACGGATGAACAGATTTATCTTATCTTTGTCTTGAAAGGTTCGTGAATGTCTAGGGACGATTTATAAGGTGAGAAAAATTCGAATAATTGCCGGAAACCCTAAAAACAGCCCATTTAGGTTTCCGTACCTCATAGGAAAAAACGGAACCCTTATAGGATCACTTTGTTGTCCGTCTGTCTGTCAAGACCCTATTTCTCAAAAACGCGTTAAGGTATCAAGCTAGAATTTATTTTTCCCATATAAACGTTTTCAAAATAAAATGTAGAGTCATATTGAACTTTATTGTCAATTTTTTTTTATTTCCGCGCGGACAGAGTCGCGTGCGATAGCTATCTTAAATAATTTAATCTTGGTAATTATTAAGACATAAAACTAAACAGTCAGAAATAAATCAAGTCATCATCAACCTGCCCTTATCCCTATCGAGGGTCGGCACAGTATGTACTACTCCTCCATACTATCAGCCGTCATATCCGAGTCTACCCCCTTCCTACGCACATCTTCTTTCACACAGTCATTCCATACTTTTTATGGTCTTCCTCTACCTTTGTAGCCATCCACATTCAATCTCATTACTTTTTTGCTTATATATCATCCTTCGCTTAACATGTCCAAACCACGCTAATCTTTTACTCCTTAATTTAATGGATTGCACGTTCATAATCAAAATTGAATTCACTTTCACTTCTGTTTTCTTATTTAATCTTTGTAGTAGTCAATACAAAGATTAAGTAGTCACTTACTCTTTGACAAACTTCTGTCAGCAACTTACCACAACTTACCACATGTATGTCGTTCTCTGTTAATCTCGGGTCCCGTTTACTACTGCTTCTCATAGGACTTGTCGTCGTACTCTGATCTGTTCTCTTGCTTTCTCGTTTGCTGTCTCTCCTTGGTGGTGTTCGACTAAAATATAATAAGGAGATTAAATCAATCATCAAATAACACGGTATATTTCTTCTTAGTAAATCTACTAGACCTGGGAGAGATTACTATGGCGCCTTTTAGATTAACAACGCAAACCTATGGCGCCTTTTTGGCGCCCTAATCCGTCGCCTAACCGCGCTCTATCCTAACGCCGGTCCTGTACTCTAATTCAATGGATATGAAAAATTATATTTACATACTAGCTGTCGCTTGCGACTCCGTCCGCGTGGATATAAAAAAAACTTAATTAGTGTAGCCTATGTGTTCTTTCAGAATGTGTTCTATGCCAAATTAAATCTCGGCCGTTCTACAGATTTCTTTACATCCATTTAAACATTCGTATTCATAATATTAGTAAGTTAAATAAAAAGCAGCTATTCAAGGCAAAAATTCGAAAAAAAATGAATAAATAGTATCCTATGTCCATCTCCTGGCTCTAAGCTACCTCCTCACCAATTTTCAGACATATCGGTAAAGCCGTTCTTGAGTTATAAATAGTGTAACTAACACCACTTTCTTTTATATATAGAGATATCTCTATGTCTATATTTTTTGGAATGTTTCTGTGTCTATGTATATGGAGAGATTAAAGCAACGGTGGCTCAGAGGTTAAGCACTTGACTTGTAATCTGTTGGTCCTGAGTTGAAATCTTACTTTGAAGGAAAACATCGTGATGCAATTTGCGCATATTTGAGAAAAAAATTAAATATATGTGAAGTGTTACACTGGACCAGCATTAACTATGAACTAATCACTAACTTAGGGTAGACTCTGAGACCCTCAGTGGGGACTTAGTGAGCTGATGATGATGGAAAGATTATAAGGAAATAACAAACAAACACTCACCTTTCTTCTTTCAGTGAATCTCTTTTAAATTCTCTTCTTTGTGTCGGAGTGGGTGTTGATGTAACAGAATGTGTACTAGTCAAAGATGGCGTCGTAGCCAGAATTTCTCTGGAAAAAAAATAAAAAAAACATTTTTTTATCATACGGTGGCAGACGAGCGAGCGGCCACCCGCAATCGCTGAAATAGAAGTGAACATTGCCCATAGACATACGCAATTGCATATGCGTTGCCTACCTTTCATCGACGGAGAAGAGGATGCACGGAAAGAAAATATTTTACCTTCCCATCCATCCTTTTATCTGGAAAGTCCACTTCCACTTCTCATCCTTTTCTTATAAGAAAAATGGTGGGTAGGGAAAGAGGACTAAATTAGGCCTCCGGGACGCACACTCATCAGACTGTACGCGGAGTTGCTTCCACTTGACGGCTGTCTTCTGTGTGGTCGTGGTATTTCACCGGGCGAGCCGGGA